CTCTTTCCTCCCCCTCCTTCGCTCCTTCGCTCCCGTATTCCCTTCCTTCCTTCTTCCATATAAGTTTAATTATGGCATAGTAGATATGTAGTAGATGATAATGAAAAATGATGATAGTGATGATGATAATAATAACACTAATAATGACGATATTGATGATGATTATGATTTTACAGATAATATTACTGCTAGTACTACTATACTACTAATAATAATGATAATAAGGGTAATAATAATAATATTAATAATAGTAATAATAGTACTAGAAGTAGTAGTAGTAATAATAATAATAATAATGATACTAATAATAACAATGATAATGATTATGATACTAATGATAATAGCAACAATAATAATAATAATGATCATAACAGAAATAATAATAGTAATAGTAATAATAGTAGTAGTAGTAATAATGATGATGATAATGATAATGATAATAAAAGAATAATACTAACAAAAAAAAATAACAACAACAACAACAATAATAATAATAATAACAATAATAATAGTAATAATGATAATAATTATAATAATAATAATAATAATAATAATAATAATAATAATAATAATGATGATGATAATGACAATAAGAATACTGCAAAAAATGATAGGGATAATGATAATAACAATAGCAATAAAAATGATAATAATGATGATAATAACAATAATAATAATAATAATGATAATAATAATAATAATAATAATAATAGTTATAACAATAATAATAATGATGATAATAACAATAATAATGATAGTGATAATAAAGATAAAAATTATAATGATAATAATAATAATGATAATAATAATAATAATAACAATAATAATAATAATAATAATAATGATAATAATAATAATAATAATAATAATGACAATGATAATAATGACAATGATAACAACAATGCTACTGGAACTACCACTAATAATAATGACAATAACATCCATATGGATAACAACAATACCAGTAATTTCTATAACGACTACAATAATAACAATGATTTATATTGACTCAGATCTCGAAATCACATATATCAAAGACTCAAAAATATCATAAGACTTTAATAACATTTCATAACATCAGTAACAAGAATGACGGAATGCAATATTGCTACATTCAAAATCAACTACTTGCAGACTCTCCCTTGCCACGTTGACTTTACTAAGTGCATGCAAACAGCTTTTCTGTAGGTTTTTCAATACTGTGACTTATGACACTATCTTTTGAACTCTCTATGAAGTCACGTATTAAAAGATTGGTGTAAATGAGTGCCAGTCATGTTATAATGAAATTGATAATTTTGTTGATAAAGTTGATGATTTTGATAAACAAAGATATTCATGATGATGTTACTGATATGTATTTGTTATTAAAATGTAGTGATAAAAAAACAGCCATGGTTATAATAATAATGTTGATGATTTTGATTTAAAAAAATGGTAATGATGGTGTTATTAATATGTATGTGTTATCAAACAGTATGGATAAAAACATCAAAATTATAACCACCGGTAGTTATGATCATTTTCACGATCAAATACAACGGCTAACAGAAATGAGAATAATAACGACTGATATAATGATATTGGAAACTATTACAGCGGAAAATGTTAACAATTATAATGATATCAATAATGATAATGATATAAAAAAAAACATCAGCTGATAATAATTATTAGAAAAAAATATAGGAATGGCTACAATTACACAGGGGAATATTACTAAAAGCAAATCATAATAGCAATGATCGTAATGACAGTAATAACAATAATAATGTTATTAACAATCGTCATCATCATATTAATAATATACGTTTTAATAATATCGATGATGATAATGATGTTGATATCAATTCTAAGAACAACAAAATCAGCAACGACATTAATAATAATCGTAATAATAACAATAATAATGATGATACTAATAATGATAATGGTGATGGTGATAATAATAAAAATTATAATAATAATAATGATAATAACAATAATAACAATAACAACAGTAACAACAACAATAATAAGAGTAATAATAATGATAATAATAACACTAATAATAATGATAATATGATAATATTATTTTCAATGGTGATGAAAATAATAATAATGATCATAATAATAATGATAGGGATAAATATAATGAGAATGAGAATGATAATAATAATCTTAATAATATTAATAACAATAATGGCAATGATAATAATAATATTACTACTACTACTACTAATTATAATAATGATAATAATAATAACAATAATGATAATAATAACAATGATAATAATAATGATAATGATAAAAAATAATAATGATAATAACCATAACAGCACAGGCACTAATGATAACAATAATATCAACAATAGCAATATAATAATAATGATAATAACATTAATAAGAATAAAAATGAACACAAACACAATAAACTGAACTTCCACGACTGTCTGACCAAAGATTATAAGAAGTGAGCATGCAGTAGGCGCAGCATAAAAGGTTTTCAAAGGAGGTGTCA